CGCCTCATTCGCTCAGTTGGTACAAACCCCTGCATGCCCTTCTCTACACTGTCTTCACTGCTTAAAAGGGGGTGTTTTTACATGGCGATAGCTAACTCGAGCTAGCTATAATCCTAGTGGAGACAAGGCACCATAGTTCTTACCTTGATGCAGTTAGTGAAGCTAAACCCCAGGTGGAGGGCATAGGGATGACCTCATCTAGCTAGACAGAGGTAAACACTGCCTGTGCCTTCACTCCACTAGGATTTTACAGCAAGATAAACATACCTTTTTTGCAATGAAGATATAGCCTTTGAGTATGTCTACACTGCAATTAAAAACCCAAGGTTGGCCCATGCCAGCTGACTCAGGCTCACAGGGCTTAGGGACTGTTTAATTGCGGTGTAGACATTCAGGCTCGGGCATGAGCCCAGGCTCTAGGACTCAGAGAGGTTGAAGGGTCCCAGAGCTCAAGCTCCAGCCTGAGCCCAAATGTCTACATCGCAATTAAATAGCCCCTTAGCCGGAGCCCTCTGAGCCCGAGTCAGCGGGCACTGGCCAGGCATGAGCATCTAATTGCAGTGTAGACATATCCTTAGAGGTCAGCACCTGGCTGGCTACACCAATTGCTGGATCGATGCTATTCCCAAAGGTAGATGAGGCCAAAAATATCCATTCAAGAAAGTTTTGTTTTTTCCTTTTCAGATCCTCTTATCTAATATATATTTTCATGATTCCTCCGCTTTTAAATTGAAACTTGCTGTTTTAAACACGGAATTGGTGGATCCAGGTAATATGCCTGAAATGTAATTCTTTACTCAGTGAAGCATTTTGGAGTGCAATAATTTTTGTTCCCTAAAGGTGCCAAATAGATTGTCCTTATTATAGAACTCCTTGTTTATTTCTTCATAGTCCAAATATTGGTAATGTCATTCAAGGACAAGTGCAACAAAGTTAATGCCAAACTGTGTTTTTTCATGCCATCTAGTATGAGTGAGTCTATGCCTATTCAGCAAAGCGCTTAAGCACATGCTTAACTTTAAGCAAGTGATAAATCCCACTGAAATCAATGGTACTACTTACCTGCTCAATATTAAACAAGTATTCAGGTGCTTTGCTGAATCAGGGCCTGGGTGCAGACATTGATTTGTATGTTCCTGTACAGGGATGTCGGTGTGCAATACATTCAGAGGAGATGCAAATCTATGTGCACAGCATATTATTATTATTATTTATTAATTATTAATCATCATCTATGTTATGGAAGCTCCCAGGGGCCCCATTGTGCCAGCTGCTGTAGAAACACAAAGGAAGAGGATGCCCCTTTTGTGGAAAGTTATAATGTGAAACATGATTCAACAAATGGATGTAACAAATGATAGCACAGAAAGGGAGAAGAAGGACGTAACTAGATCAGTACAATAGCAATAAAAAAAAGGAGAAAGAGGAGTTGCAAACCAGCAGTACAAATTACATCTTCAGAGAAGTGTTATGTGAACAGGAGCCATTCTGCTTCAAAATCGCTAGATGAACATATTCCATGATGAAGCAAATTTCCAAAGATTAAAAAACCACAACATGAATAATGTTCTTCATTCAGTTTATTTGTTAACATACTTCCAATTGGTAGGACTAACTGGAGGACTTTTATGTGGTTCAGAGTTCAGTCTCCTGTTGGTTGTTAGAATATATGGCCATGCACATTCACATAGAAGGTAACAGAATTTTCACTGCACGCTTCTTGCCAGTTTGAGGGAGATTCTTTATGGTTATTTTTTTCCAGGCACCCATAGTTAAGCATCAAAGTCATTTACTAGTCAGGCAAAACGACTTACCCACCATCTTTCAAATATCTAGCCTGTGATGTCTTTACTGCCCTAAGAAATACAACATGCCAGGCGGATCATAAAAATGTTGGCAGATTGTTTAGCAGACCATTAATAAAGAGTAGGACTAGGGAAAAAAGCATTATCCATGGATTTTTGTACACTGAAGCACAGTATTTTAACAGCCTAACTCATTCATCGTAATGGGAACCATTACATTGTGGCATGCACACTGATAGCATGAGGATATGGAGATTAGGAACATACCATATGTGGGACTTAGGCTCAGAAACAATCACACAAACCATTGTGAGCACAATACCATATGGTAATGTCTGTTAACATTTTCACCCTTTTGACTCTGTTTTATGTTTACATGAACCATTTCAATTATGTTAACACTTACTTAACAGTAAGTGGTGGTTTATGTGGCTGATTTTGAGCAAGTGGGTTATAAATCACCATGCTAGAGTGTAACCAGTGCGTAAGGCAATAACGTAATGGTTTGCTCTACAGTATTTCATCAACCCACCTGGAGAATCTCTTGCTCCCTGAGGAATGTATGACAATATAATCCTATTTTGTCCACTGGGGCTAAAACCTAACCTTCTCTTATGCAGTAGTAAGTGGGGTGTTAGTCCCTTGTTCCCTTCTAAAGCAGCTTATCTGATCAGTCCTGAGTACAGTCGAGCTACGTGCAGAAGGAGGACAAAGAAACAAGGTGACCACTTTCTGTTTGGATTTATGGAGCTGCTCAGGAGACAGGGCACACTCATAAATTGACTTCCTGCCCCACTTTCTCCTCACATTGAGTATCTCTTTGCATCTGTTGTCCCATCTCTCCCCAGACAGGGCTAGCAGACTATCAGAAGTTACTGCAGCCATAGGGCTGCAAATACCTCACAAGGAGCTTCCCCATGGAAATTGAGAGGAACCAGAATGGCTCCTCACTCCAAGCCTTTAATGGTCCATGTCTTTGGAGAGGGGTACCATGCTGCATATATATTTTTAAACCCATGTTACTCCTTACATCCTTGAACTGGTCCATAAAGGTCAGTATCTTTTTCAAATCCCTCCTCAAAAGCCACCGCTTCCACAGTGCTTACAATGTATCTGCCAACAGATGATGCCTAAGCTCAGCCCTGAAGGGAAAGAAAGGAAGGAAAGAAGCTTACCCTATACCTGTACATTAACATATCATATGTGAAAATTGTATATATTTTCAGTGTTGCCAACCCCAAATGTTCAAAAACCATAAGGCCCTCCCAAATCATGAGATTTTTAAATTAATAAATGGGGGAGGAGGGATGTTATTTTCCTTCTGGCTTAACTCCCCTCCCCAAGATTCTCATGTTTTCACCTGATTCCAGGAGCTGGGGCTTTAAGAAAAACTCCAAATATTGTGAGACTCACAATAAAATCACAAAGAGTAGTCAAGATTGTATTTTAGTATTTCCTTCTCCCTTGTTTGTCACTTGTCTTCTTTGATCCCAGTGCTTCAAGCTATTCCATGCTGGCAAACTCCTGTGCCCAATTACTTCAATGGGGCTCTGTGCCAGCATCACTGTGTCCCTTCCGCCAGCCCACCCCCGTTTACCAGCTAGCAGAATCAGGGCCTTAGCCTGTAAACTCTGCAGGACAAAGTGTGTGTCTACATCTGTGTTTGGACAGTCCCTTGTACAGTGGAACTCTGATCCATATTTGGCCTCCGGGTGCTATCATAATGAGTAATTGAACCTAAATAATGTGCCAGCTTTTCAAAAGTACTCCACATCTAGCAGCTCCTCAAGGGAGCTTGTCATTAACCTTAATGGAGCTACTGGGTATATATTTGCAGATCTGGCCACTTCATTTAGGTGCCTCAATTGAAGCTGAGCACTTGAAAATCTGGCCCAATTATAATAACCTGTAAATTGGCAAATTGGTTAGGCAGGGGTGGGGACAGGCTGTGCAGCATCTCCATAATGTCATCATCCAGGCCCAAACTGTGACAGGCAGACATAAAATATATAATAGATGTGCAGTATTTATAAATTAAAATGTTTCTGTTGGTACTAAAAATTTGAATGTTCTGAATTTTGTACCTTCAGAATTTCAACCATAATGTTGTCATTTTGCATTATATTTCCCTTATTTTATTATTATTCAGACAAAATAGAAAAGGAAATATAAGAAAAAATGATGGGGATCCTATACTGAACCATAAGATTTAATTTGCCAAGATCCAAATATACGCCTGCTGAATAGTTGCACAAGATGCAGTTAAATCATTAAGGAAAATGAAGCTCAGCAAATGTGAAGTATGCTGCTTGTTTCATTAGCAAGGAGTGAAGTGGAATGCAGGTCAAGTTGAATAAATTGAACTTTATTAAACCTTGTGCCCTGCTCTGTCCATGTGGCTAAGCAGCTTCCAGCCAACCTCCCTGCATTGTCTGGTCTACTGGTGTCTCATCTATAACAGTCCCTCCAGGGAACATGGGACCTCTGACTCCAGTTCTACTGATAATGATGCCCTGCTTTCAATTTCTTAAGAACATAAGAACAGCCATACTGGGTCAGACCAAAGGTCCATCTAGCCCAGTATCCTGTCTTCTGACAGTGGCCAGTGCCAGTTGCCCCACAGTGAATGGACAGAACAGGTAATCATCAAATGATCAATCCCCTGTCGCCCGTTCCCAGCTTCTGGCAAACAGAGGGTAGGGACACCCTCCCTGCCCATCCTGGCTAATAGCCATTGATGGACCTATCCTCCGTGAATTTATCTAGTTCTTTTTTGAACTATCTGTTCTAGTCTTGGCCTTCACAACATCCTCTCGTCTTCGCATAAAATGTTCTACCTTGTTAATTAAATCCTAGCATGAGTGCAGTCATATTGATGATTTATGCTGGTATAGCTATACCAGTATGGGAAGGGAAATAAGCTGCACTTTATACCATTATAACTGCATCTACACTAGCAGCTGTACAGGTATAACTATTTTGGTAATAAATCACAACCCTAACTGACAAAATTATACCAGTATAACTTTTCAGTGTAGACCAGGCATAAATCTTTGTTTCAGTAACAGGCTTTGTTTTGTTTGTTTGTTTTTTAATGTATCAACACTATGTTCTGGCCTTGGGTACCAGGGAACGAAGCATAATGCTGTAAAGCAAAATTGTGATGGTATTATCTGAGCACCCATCAGTCTTCTGAGATTTTTCTTGCAGTTTTGTGAGGAAACCTTTTTAATTCACATTGGAATGACCCAAAGCCAGCCATAATGGAATTTTACTAAACATGTTATTAAATTAAATATGAGCTGACAAACATTTCACTAAAGGAAGCAATTTTTCCAGGAAACTACGCGTGCCTAAAAAATAGGGCTTTAAAATTCAAATATCTCCTAGGACATATTTATAACATTATTCCAATGTCACTATAATTGAGATGCAAAAACTGGGTCAGGTAATCTTAAACCAAGACCTAAGTAACATATAAATAAGTTATTTTCTATAATATTTCCAGACACAACAAAATCTAGACTTGGAATGGCATAGCTGATGTAGTTGTGTTTTGTTCCGAAAACATGAATGAATGTCAAATGCTGTTGTCTTAAACAATATTTTGCCTTTGTGTTTTGGGATTCATAGAATCATAGATACACAGTTGTGGGAGGGAATATGCACAAACCTGCTCTAATTTTGTAATTTTACAGTCTAAGGGTCTTTTTATCTGTTTAGTCTATTGAGGCTACTTGATTTTTTAAAAATTCCAGGAAGTCACACATGAATTAGATGTGCCCACTTATCTAGAATGCACTCTACCTCCAGCCACTCTTACCTTCTGTTGTCATATTTCTGTGCACTTGGGTCCTAATACAAAGTCCGTTGAAGTCAATGGAAAGGCCACCATTGACTTCAATGGGCTTTGAATCAGGCCCATAAATCAGTTCCATTAGCATTAGCAAAATCAAATTACTTCTTCATGAGGTCATATAGTTTTGATTTTCATGAGCAATGATTACTAAGGAGCTCTGGGATGAATTAGAGCCCAATCCAAATCATATTGAAATCAATAGAAGGTTTTATTTTGTCTTCAGTGGGCTTTGGATCTGGTCTTTAGTGAACTGGTTTTGATCTTGCAATCTTTGAACAGCTTTGTTTCATGATTAACAATAGGGCTCCATTAGACATCAGTGTTTGTAATGTGAAGATTTACATTACATTGTACTTTGTGCTTTATAAACAACAGTGATTAAAACAATATCCCGTCTATTCATCATTACAGATGCTGAGTTGTTTGGAACATATGTACCATGATCTCGGATTGGTGAAAGACTTTAATATCAACCCCATCACGCTGAAGAGATGGTTGGTAAGTATTTCTTTAAAGTTCCCAGTATTTGTAATTTTTAAAATACAGCCTCGAATCCTGCAAACACTTCCTCATGGCATTACTTTATTCAGATGAGTAATCCCACTAAAGGCAGTGGAACTACTCACCTGTTTAAAGTTAAGCACTTGTCCCAGTGTTTGCATGATCAGGGTCACAGATGACATGTTTTAGAATAGCTCTGTATTTGTTTACTTAATTCTTGATTCTGAGCTTTCTCTGGACTCACTGTGGCCAAATTTATTCCTGGAGTAACTCAATTGTTAACATGGAAAAAATGGATTAACACAGGATGCTTCAAGGCTAGATACTAGGTACAGTGTTTAATATTAATGATCCGAAAAGGGAAGTGAGTAGTGAGGTGACAAAATTTACAGATGAGACAAAGTTATATAAATTAGTCAAGACTGGGTACACTGAAGAACTTCAGAGAGACCTAAATAAATGAATTGGCAAATGAAATTCAGTGTCAATAAATTCAAAGTAATACACATTGGAAAGAAAAAAATAAGCTACTGTACACTTCAAAAGGTTCTAAATTAGATTGTTACCTTAGGAAAACATCCTGGGCGTTATTGCAGACAGTTCAATGAAGACCTCTGCAAAATGTGCTGCTGTGGTCAAAAAAGTTAACAAGATATAAGAATTCCTAAGGATTGGGATGGAGAATAACACAGAAAATAGTATGGTGCCATTATGTGAATCAATGATGTGACCTCATTTGGAATACCTTGTGTAGTACTGGTCACTATATCTTAAAAAGGATATTGCAGTATTAGAGAGGTTTCAGAGAAGGGTCACCGGAATTATTAGAGTACATTCTATGAAATTAAAAGGTGGTAAATTCAAAATAGAAAATGCAATGCATAATTAGACTCTGGAACTCATTGCCACAGGAAGTTGTTGAGACCAAGAATTTAACAAGATTCAGAAAGAGATTCGACACTTATATAGATATCAAGAATACCCAGAGTTATCATGATAAATGCTAATACATTTTTTTTGGAAGAGACATTAAATCTCATGTTTCAGGGCTTAAGCCAATCTGTAACATTATAGATGAGGTAGACCTAATGGGGCGGGGGGCAGATTATCCCACATTTCCCTGTGGGGTTCTGACATTTTCCTCTGAAGCATCTGGTACTAGATGGACGTTGGGTTTGATCCAGTATCAGTGGCGCTGGAACAGTTTTTGCAGTGGGGGTGCTGAGCTGCACCCCCCTTTCCCGTCTGCGCCCCTCACCGCCCCCAGAGCTGGGGCCAAGAGCAGGGCCATGGCTCCGGGAGGGGGAGGACGCGGACAGAGGTAAGGCGGCAGAGGCTAGGGCCACAGATAGGGGCTGGGGCGAAGCCCCAGGCGTGGGGCTGGCGGCCGGAACCCTGCATGTGGGGCCGGTGGCCAGGAGCCTGGGACTGTCAGCACCCCCCACACCCCTACTTCCTACGCCTATGTCAAGTATGGCATTTTCTGTGTTCCTATATTATACATTGGTTTCGCCTGAAATTACTAGTACTGGAAGTGATGTGACTCACGATACCTCTGTGTGTAGGCTGTTTGACTGTTTTTCACAAACACGGCATTCCCCTGCACTTCTATGCACAGCGGAAAATGTACTGTCTTTTAACTGTATGTCATGTAGCATGTTGCTCTGCAGGATTATATCATTTTTGTCTGGAGGATGCAATGAAAACTATTGGATTGCTCTTTCTCTGGCCAAAAGTAGTAAATGTCGGTAAAATGGCACTTGCTGCAAGAATGATTCAAGGACTGGAAAACATGCTTTACTGTGAGAGACTCAAGGAGATGAATTTAGTTATCTTACTGAAAAAAAATTCAAGAGGTGACTTGAGTGTGATCTATAAGAATCTAAACAGGGGGAAGATTTGTGGTAGTAGGTAAGTCTTTAAACTATTAGAGAAAAACATAGCAAGAGTCTGCGGCTGAAAGGTGAAGCTAGAAATTCAAACTGGAAATAAAGTGCAGATTTTTAAGAGTGAGGGTATTTAATCGTTGGAACAACTTACCCAGCAATGTGGTGGATTCTCCATCACTTGAAATCTTTAAGACAGGATTGGCTGTCTTTTTAAGATACACTCTTGTTCAACCACAAATTGTCGAGCAAAATTCAGGAATTACGGGGTGATATTCTATGGCCTGTGTTATACAGGAGGTCAGATTAGATGGTCACAGTGGTCCCTTTTGACATTAAAAACTATGAATCTGTGCCACCTACAATATGTATAGAGATGCATTCACATCAGTTCAAATTTCCCTGAGTAATTCAAAGTGCTACCATTAATAGTTAATACAATCTCATTCTGAACTATGTGTGCGGCTCCTTATTTATTCTACAAAAATCGGAGTGTTACAAAAATTCCTTTGCAAATATTGGCTTTTCCAAAAGGGATGATAAAAAGAAACCCACAGTCCCTACTTCCAGGTGCTGATATTTTCCCAAAGCCTACAGTGTGCTTAGGGTTGAACTCAGGTGGACAAGAAAGAGCTACCTCATTTTACTTGAACATTTCCTTTCTCAGTCCCACATTCGCCTGCTTTAAAAATACCGCCGAGAAACTGAGGAACAAGATGACTGTTGCAACCAAATATTTTTAATAGCTCAACATAAAGGGCTGATACAACTTCTGAATCAGGAATCACATTTAATGTTCTGACTTCCACTGATCAATGCATGCATTACAATCATGTTACCTTGCATAACAAATGTGTATGACCCACATTTCAGTGCTGAAGTTGTATGAGATGATGTTTATAACATTTGAGGAGATCGTCAACGTATAATTTTTAAAGTTATTTTCAAAAGTCCTTCTCTACTGAAATAGAAGCCAAACAACACAGGACTGGTTTTTCAGAAGTGCTGAACCTTCTCAACTCCCATTGACTCAGGCTGGAGGTTTGGATGCTTACAAATCTGAAAATCAAGCCCAAGAACAAGCAGCTTGATCCTGCAGGGTGCTGAGGACTCTGGTCCTGATCCAGCAATGCACTTAGACTCAGTTGAACTTTAAGAATGTATGTAATCCCACATGTGGCGCAATGGGGCTAGTCCCGTGCTTAAAGTTAAGCACATGCTGGAGACCAGAGTGCTGAGTACCTTGCAAAATCAAGCCCTAAGTGTGTGGAGCTCAGTAGAGCTGGGGACGATTGGCTGGCTGATAAGATGTCTTCAGTATATATTTGTAAATTAAATAAATATGACATTCTTGCCTTTGAAGACCTCAGGGTTGACATTCAAATTATGTCAGAAATGAGTTATGTGACTCTGTATATTCCTAAATGGGCCTTTGTCCCCAGCACAGTTTGGCAGACTTGGTGGTGTCTGCTCAGGAGAGATGCAAGACCAGAGCACATGTTGTGCATCAGGACTGGGAAAGCTTGCTGTTGCCTGCCTATTCTACTGGGTGAGGCAGATAACAAAGAGAGGGACTACTGACAATCTCTGGCCTCATATTGCTCATGTGGCTGGGGAAGGAATGCCCCCTTGGTGCTTTTCAGTGACTTCATTAGATGGTTCAGGGATTCTGTTAATGAAATCTTCATAAGGAACCATATCTAGTTCTCCTCAGCCAAAAGGAGGAGGGTGCTGTTGCAGGGCTGTGGGTTGTGATTTTGAAGGGGCAAAAGTGGAGAATGATGTGGGGCTCCATATGTCTCACATAGCGACATGCAGTGCCTCGAGGGAAAGCGGGAAGAGCATGAACTCAGATCTTTCCATTCAGAAACAACTCTACGGTCATTAACTGTTTTACTCCTTCTTTTTGTAGCTGTGTATTCATGACAATTACAGAAACAACCCGTTCCATAATTTCCGGCACTGCTTCTGTGTGACTCAGATGATGTACAGTATGATCTCACTCTGCAATCTCCAGGTATGTCTCTAGTTTGTCCACATAGCTATCTGTATTTCTGCTTCTATCGCCAGATAAATATTCATCCACTAAGGGTCATAAAACCCAGGACATTTTCCTTCCAAAAAGGACCATGATTTTGTTTGTACATGACTCATTAATTTATTGAAAGCAAGCAAGAAACTTTAGGAAACCTAACTACAATTAGTTATAGTGGAAAGAAAGACTGGTCAATGGTTGGGGAACTAGCCTAGGGCTGGGGAGACGTGGGTTCAAGTCCCTGTTTTGCCGCAAATTTCCTGTGTGACCTTGAGCAAGTCCCTTACCCTCTCTGTGCCTCAGTTCTCTGCCTGTAAAATGGAGATAATAGCACTGCCCTACCTCACAGGGGTGAAGATAAATACATTAAGATAGTGAGATGACAGTAATGGGGGCCATGTAAGTACCTAAGATAGGTAGGATGGGTCTCAAAAGTTTAGATAAGTATCCATAAGCATAAGAGCTTTACCAGAAATGACCTAAACTTCTGGAAACTCTCAGCCTTGGATAGTCCCCTGCTGACTCCCTCCCCATGAAACAAGTCTCGGCTCCTCTATCTTTGCTCATCAATGCTCCTTCCTCTTTGCTGCTCTTCAAGGGAAGAGGACTTCTCCACTCCTCCTGTGTGGTACTCTTTTCAGTGGAAAGCATGCAGCAGCCCTCCCCTCTCTCTCTCCCTTTCACCAGAAGCAGCAGCTGAGGACAGGACCCAGTAGTGTCTCCACTGAGTGCTCCTTCACACTCCATTCATTCTTGCTCTTCCCCAGTACTTGTGTCCCAGACTACACCATCACCTTCTGAAGCCCCTGAGCCAATTAAACCTTGTGCCTGCCTGTGCTCCAACAGGGCATTCTGGGGAGCATGTACCAGGGAAACTCTAGACTCTCTGGAAGCTTGACAAGAGCTGCAGCAGCGGTGGCCAGTACAGAGGCTAAGCTGCCACCCAAGGAAGGAAGGAGTTTTACAGTCTTCCTCAAAAGAGGATCTGCCACTGTAGATAAGTGGTTGGGCTGTTCACAGGACATGGTGAAGAGACTTACTGAACAGATCGAGCCATGAAAAGGAGGTTGTGTTTTGTTCTGAAATAAAAAATGTTTCCAATGAGTTCTTATTTCACCCCGATTGGTTCATCTATGTCTAATTATAATGAGAACCTATAGCCCTAGATTATATGAAAAGTCATTATTTAAATCACTGAATAAAATGCTCAGTCATTTCAGAGACTTTTATTTAGTCATCTAGGCCTGAATCAGCAAAGCACTTAAGCACATGCTTAACATTAGGAAAGTGACAGAGTAATCCCATGGAGACAAGGGATAGTCCAAGGTGCTGCACCCTAGAGCTCTACTAACTTCTTTGGGATTTGTGAGCACTCAACACCTCTGAAAATCAACAAGACAGCTGGCTGACTGGCATTGCCCATGGAATGAATTCAGCTTTAGTTCTAATATAATAGAATCCTACAAATAGGAAGACTAGAAAACATCTCCTTCTCTCATCCTGTCAAAGATATCAGTGATCCAGGGATGTAGTAATATGCCAGATTTCCAGACAGGAGTTATGACTGAAGTATATCTTTCAGAGGGGTAGCCATGTTAGTCTGTATCAGCAAAAATAATGAGGAGTCGTTGTGGCACCTTAGAGACTAAGAAATTTATTTGGGCATAAGCTTTCGTGGGCTAGAACCCATTGGATCCATGAAGTGAAAAATACAGGAGCAGATATAATTCCATGAAAGGATGGGGGTTGCTTTACCAAGTGTGAGGTCAGTCTAACGAGATAAATCAATTAACAGCAGGATACCAAGGGAGAAAAAATAACTTTTGAAGTGGTAAGAGAGTGGCCCGTTACAAACAGTTGACAAGAAGGTGTGAGTAACAGTAGGGAGAAATTAGTATTGGGGAAATTAAGTTTAGGTTTTGTAATGACCCAACCACTCCCAGTCTTTATTCAGGCCTAATCTGATGGTATCCAGTTTGCAAATTAATTCCAGTTCTGCAGCTTCACATTGGAGTCTGTTTTTGAAGTTTTTTTGTTGAAGGATTGCCACTTTTAGGTCTGTCATTGAGTGACTAGAGAGACTGAAGTATATCTGACCTTCAACAGCCCAAGGGCTGGCCTCTTTGATTTTAATCTCAAATTTAGGTCTCCCCATTTAAATTGACCAAGAAGTAGAAAGAGCCATCAAGCTAAAGTTGTCTCTTCCATGTCATTACTTCCCCAGAAGACCCCCAAATCAGACTGCGGCTCAAAGAAAGAGCGCTTATTAAAGCTGGAAGAACCATTCACAATGTATTAATGTAACCCTTTCCCTGGATGCAGGTAGTCTGACATTTGTATGAATTTGGGGCCTGGTCAAAATCCCAGTGAAGTGACTTTCATGGTCTATGAATTGGGACTTAATTCACTATATAAAATATTTCAACAAATGTTTTCTGCAAACTAGATTCAGCCTATGGGTTCCTCATGAACCGCTCACTGAAAATATTGCTTTGCATATTCTATGTTCAGGATTCAGATTTATTCTGTATGGTCACCTTAGCCTGGAGTATTTTTCCCTCACTGGATGACCTAACATTTCTAAACTGCTTTCACTTCCACACAAAACAAATTTAATTTCATCATGAACCACATTTTGTTCCATGGCAAAATGAATCCCAGGTACTGGCAAGAATTTGTGTTCTTGTGGATATACATATGAGCAAAACTGCTTCCACAAACATTCATCCTGTTTGGAAGTTGCTGAAATGTTTATGAAAAATTTTCCTCACCCTCTTCCCATCTCTAGTTAGTGTGAAAGATAATGGTATGTAAATTGTCTTCCAACCCTCCCTCAGCTAGTGTAGACACTGGAATGATTTCTAAAGGCCTGAGTATTAACATCTTTGTGCTTTAAAACATAATATGAATATGAATAACTCTCAGACAAAATTCCACTGGCCTCCTCCAAACTGCTTCTATTTCCTGCGTCAAAGCCAAATCTGAGTCATTTGTTGCTGTAGTGAACAGTGGAATCTTCTTTCTTATCTACAGTACATTTAATTAATGAATAATGGTTAATTTTACCCAGATGATTTGTTTTTCTGAAATGTGAATGTGTTAGGGGGAAAAAAGTATAGAAATTGTGAGACACTATATTATTATTTTTTTCTATTGCAGGAGAAATTTCCCCAAGTCGATATCTTAATTCTAATGACTGCCGCAGTATGCCATGATTTGGATCATCCAGGATACAACAACACGTATGTGTGCCCTTTATTTTTTGTTCCTTTCAAATATATTGGGAAAACAATGCAGATCAGCATTTTCTTCTCATGCCCAGAGCAGAGAGTAGGGCAGCTGAGTAGGAATCTACCCACAATGCTCTACTATCATGGTCAAATACTGACAAGGACAGAGCCACCACTGGTTAGGCTATATGCAACGCTAGCCATTAGCTTACTCAGTCCTGAGCTGAGGCTGCTAACTGTGCTAAACTCTGAAAGGAAAATGGCTCCCTCTTCAATTTTCTCATAAAACTTACGTATTTTCCATTAAAGGAAATTGGCAGCTAGAAAACATTCTCAGGTCATATTCTTTTGTTAATGAACCTATGTAGCAGAAGAATGGTCATATGGTTGAGGTTCAATAACATGGGAAGAGGTTTTGGTTCTTTTCCCAACTCTGCCAAAAACCTTAAACAAAGCATTTAACCACTGTCTATCTCCATTTGCCCATCTATACAATGGAGATAACAACAGCTAGCTGGCAGGGGTGATCTGAAGGTTACTTCATAAATGTCTGTAAAGCACGGTATGAGCCTCGGATGGAAGGGGCTCTAGAAGTGCTAAGCATTGTTACTTCTGTGTGCTTGTGTGAACTATATATAAACTCTAATTTACTTGTCTTCAGCTATTAAATAAGGGCCTGATCCAATTTGCGTTGAGCTCCGTGAGCATCTTTCCATTGACTTTACTGGGAGTTAGTGGGAGCCAAGCCTGCGAGCTAAAAAGAAGAGTCCCCTCTATCCTTCCCACATATGTTTTTAAGTTATAGAAATTCAGTAATAACAAGTAAATAATGAGAGTCTTTGAAACTATGTGGAAGTATGATCATTTTATCAAAAAAAAATTGGATTTAATATTAACTGTTGCCATAATTAATTAATTAATTAGGTATTTACAACAATATACATAAAAATAACCAATGTCTAATGTGTAATGTATGTTTTTAAGTGTTGGGTGTAGGCAACCTGTGAGACCTCACTATTTTCCTTCACATCAGCTACCAGATTAATGCCCGAACAGAGCTTGCAGTGCGCTACAATGACATCTCGCCACTGGAGAACCATCACTGTGCTGTGGCTTTCCAGATCATTGCCCAGCCAGAATGCAACATTTTCTCCAATGTCACCCAGGAACAATTCAAACGAATAAGACAGGTATGAACGTTGATCCAGAAGGGAGGCTATGGCATGCAAACGGCTCTTGAAGATTGTGTGCACAAATCTACCTTCTGTACAGAATAATTCCATCAAGAGGTTAGAACTGATCTCAAATAATCTCAAACTTGAAGTAACACAGAGAGATTCCTGGGCTATTTCTCTAGCAACTCTTGTTGAACTGTTGAGCTGACCTTCCTTGGGTACCAATGAGCAAAGTTTGACTATTAAACTTATACTCTTCTGTGTAGAAACTTACATTATGAAAGGAATTGTTGGGATGTGACTGTAACTAGGCCAACATGCTCATATGGTAACAACTTAACCATTAGAAGAACATTATGCTGAACTTAAACAGTTCAAACTGGAGAAAATTTGTAAAGACATAAACAAATATTCACCTTCTACACATTTTATCATCTTTTTCCCCCGCATTTTTCATCATTATTAAAAATATTTGTGTTTATACAAAAGCTTCAATCTGTGGAGCCCATCTCTTTTTTTGTTGTGTGAGGCAATGAAGTCATAAGAATAAATTCTGTGACTTCACAATATTTTCCATGACAACAAACTAAAATGTAATTCGCATAGCATTATGGGCCAAATTCTGCCCTCAGATTCATGGATGCAACTCCCATCCATATTAAATGAAAATGCAGAAATGCAAAACTGCCATTGACTTCTGTGGAACCAATCTTGGGCCTCAGCACGTAGAACTGAGCTTTTAGTTTATTTCTTTCTGCACTTTGCATTCATACTAAAAATCAAACAAAGCTCAGAACCAGAAGCAGCAGTTTCTCCAGCATATAATTATACACAAACCATTTACATAGTTAGTCATTCTCTTATGTCACTGTGAATTCTTTAAATTAATGGTCTAGTTTGTCAAGTGGCCTCAAGTATGAAAGTTCCTCTTTCACTGGTGCTGATGTGATGATGCAGCTGTTCTTCTTGTCTGTGTTATAAGGTATTTGTGTTAATTTAAGCACATGTGTTTACACAGCAATAGCTATGCCTTGTGAGACATGTTAAATCAATGTATTATTATGTTTGTTTTAATAGGGGATAATTACATTAATCCTGGCAACAGACATGGCAAGACATGCAGAAATACTGGACTCTTTCAAGGAAAAAATGGATAATTTTGATTACTCAAATGAGGAACATGTGACCTGCGTAAGAAGACTATGTGTTTATCATTTTTCAGTGCCTAGCATGGTTCATAGTGATACTGCTACATTCTAAACTTTGGTTTTGGCCTGATCATGCAAGGTGTTGAGCAGAAGTGGTCAGAATTTTTCTGTCAAAATCGTTTTTGTTTTGTTTTTTTAATAGAAAGTGCAATTTGTGCAAACTTGAAATTTTGTGTGGGGAAAATTTTGATTTTGACAAGAAAGAAATCCAAATAGTTTGTTTTGGGTTGGATCAATTTGAATTGAATACTTGGATAGCTCCCCAAAGTGTAGTATATAAGTGCCTCCAACACTCCTGTGAGGTAGAGAAGTACTTCTTTTACAGCTGGAGAAGTGAGACCCAGAGAGACTAAGTGACTTGCTCCAGGTCTCACAGGAGATCCTTGGCGGAGCAGGGTATTGAGCCCAGCTCTCCCTAGTCCCAGCCTAGCTACCTAACTATGGAACCAACCTTCCTCCCCTTTTTGGGTGGCACTGTGAGTGGGTACCAAATACTGCAGGGAATTGTGTGCCTAAAAACAACGGTTTGCACTGTAACATTAACAGAAACGTCAAAGTATTTCTTGTAGATTTTTATAAAAGCTTTCCCCCCAAAAAACAATGATAAGTCTGGGAGCACTTGATATAAACAAAGTCTAGATTCCTCTTTCGGATTTTGAAATCCTAGAGTCATCTGAGCAAGAAATAATTACTGTATCTGTCAGGATATAAATTCTTAGTTTCATTCTAGTCTCCATTACGTCCATCATAACAATACTTTGTTCTAGACCTAAACCAATCCCCATTGAACTCAGTGGGAATCTTTCCATTGACATTAATGAGGATGAGATTGTGTCCCTATAGTGCCTTCCCTCCAAGAATGTCAAAGCCCTTTACAATCATTCATGGATTAAGCCTCATAATCCTCCCATGGAGTAGGTAAATATTATAGGAGGAAGAGAAAGTAGATCAGTCTTGTGCCTTAGCTATAAGACTATCCTTCTTGTCTGAGATCATTCCCCTCTGCCTCTCTAAAAATGAAGGACTCATAGCTTTTATGTCTTCTATAAAGACAAAGAGACGGGCTTCTATATTACCAGAGTGTTAAAATATTTTTCCTCCTTCAGTTGAAGATGGTACTTATAAAATGTTGTGATATCTCGAATGAAGTCCGCCCAATGGAAGTAGCGGAACCATGGGTAGACTGCTTATTAGAGGAATATTTTATGCAGGTAAGAATGAGAAACAGAGACACAGATACACAATCATCATCATAATAATAGTAGTAGTAATTCCTATTTTAACTATAGCTGACAGCTGACTGGTAATACTGTATGACATTCCAGTGCCATAAGGATGAGGAGGTTTCTTTTGCATAAGGTGACAGAAGTGTGGTATAAGACAATATGTTCAGAATAAAAGTGACTGTAATTGACTGCAATTTGTAAGATAAATGACAATAACGTAGAAATGGTAATGTCACTTGGCTGCAGCTTGTTCTTACTAATAGGGCTGCCTAGTGAGTTTATTTGGCATGTTAAACCCTTGTCAAGCCAAAAGGGCAAGAAGCGTGAGTATAGAAAAAGTCAATTAAATGGGCAGTATTAAATGGGCCAAGTTTAAATTATATCTGTGATGATTTGAAATGACCGAGTCTGCATAGGATGAACATTTGCTTTAAAAATGAAAACATTCTGATTATTTCCAAAGGACACCATCAACTTCATTAGTCCTGAAAAGTCAGCTTATGCTCCCAAAACAGTTGCTTCTTTCTGGATTCCCCCATCTCTCTCTAGTATGGTTTCTTGAAATATAAAGCAACATTAAAACTATCAGCAATCCTCTGCTCTCTCCCACCCAAGCCAAGCTGTCTGTACAGTAGCTGGCAGCATGCAAAGCTTTATTGTGATTGGAGGAACAAGATGCCAGAGTTTTCTTCTTTCTATTTTTTTTTAAACATTTTCCCTGTGCTGAAGGAATCAGTTTAACAAAGAAATTACATTAGACGTATCCAACGGGAAAGGCTTGACAACAGAGAATCTTAATAACAAAATGTTAGAGGCACCTTTAGCTCATTGTCTCTGCAATATTTTTATGCAAAATAAAATGATCTGTCTCTGCACTTTATTGTGTTCCTCACCCTAATATCTGACACAAGGTACTACGGTGCACACATTATTAAAGCAAGTCTGACAGATGAGAGTAAATGCTGGCAATGAAGTTAAAGGGGTGTCAATTTTTGGCATATTCTGTGCCCTTCTTACTAACTATGCACTTACAGGAATAATGGTTCAGACGGTCAGCTGATTCCAATCTCTGTAGACCCATTTAAGTCAATGGAGCTACGCTGATTTATACTAGCTGAGAATCCGGCCCATTATTTGTAAAGATCTTTCCAAAGTTTGGAACGCAGAGATACATCCGTCCCTGAATCTGTATGTACTAGGAGCCACTTGATAGACTAGAAACAAAAACCATTTTTGACCATGGTTGGCTAGTCCTAGATTAATACCTAAAAGAATAATTCTCCAGAGAAGAAGGAAGTCAAGGACCCTTTCCCTCCTAGGTAGAATGGCTAAGGGCTAGATTCTGCTACTTTGTCTCACACTGAGTAGTGCTTTACTCCACAAGAAGTCCAATGGATTTGGGGTGGCTGCCTAACTGCCTTGTACGTCTCTGAGTATCTCCCTCCTACAGTATGTCTACACTATAGCAGGGAGCAAGTGCAACCATGCCTAGTTGGGTGGCACTCTGTCCCCCTCTAGTGGCAGCTAGAGATTGATGAGTCTGTTACAGTCTGGGCTAAGAGACATGTCTTTTGGCTCATGCATTAAGCTCCAGAGGTCCCAGGTTTGATCCTGGCTGACAACGACCAGGTCTATTGGCATTACTCAAGCCTCTTAAGCCAGGCAGACAGTCTTGTGCTAGTGGGCTTACACCAGGGGTGAAAGTAAGTTAGGCCACTTACTGGTACGGGCCGGGAGAGGAACTCCGGCCCCCGGAAGGGGCAGGGCCTCGGGCGGAAGGGGCGGGGCTGGGGGGTCAGCATCCCCCAACCAGCCCTTTCAGGCCACCTGGCCCGCACCACCCGTGGATCCCGTGTTGATTTAAAGGGCCCGGGTCTCCGGACGCCGCTGCTGCACTAGTGGC